AGAGGAGAGAGGAGAGTTTTAAAATACCAAAAATATCCTTGCATTAAGATTTTAATTTAAAATTACCAAATTTATAAATTTCCTAATTTATCTATTAATTTGTGGTTAATATTGGTTCTCACAGTTACCACAAACAACTCAGTTCTCCCTTGAATAGGCCCCTATATATATATATATATATATATAATTAATGTTTGCTTCAAACGAAAATAAGAAAACACTAGAACCGCTAGATGCATCTGATTTTACACTAATATAACATGTAAAATCACATGTGATTCACAAGCCAAGTCGCTCGCATACCCTTCATGTTCCATAATCGTATGTGATTATTTCAATGGAAAATCATGTGATTTGATCATTTTCGTATTTTCTTATTTTAACTATATTCTCATTTGAACATCCCCTCCCCCCTCTCTCTATATATATTATATTATATTATATTATATTTGTTGTATGTATATTTTTTAACGATAAAATAATCATCTATCATGTTTTTTTAATGGCGAAGGTTCCTTTGACCAATGACATGAATGGGGTAGAGGTCATCGTTTGCGAGCCCGAGTCGATCCTAACTTTTTTTTATCCAATGAGTCTAATATTGTAAACTCAAGCCCTTTTTTCCGGGCTTGATAACTTGTCATTGTCCGCCCTTTAAACGGACCGGGTTTGCCCACACGCTAACGAGCCTAAGAAGTGTAATTCTTATAAATCTATAAACTTGATTCTAACAATTAATTAACAAATGTGGAACAAAAAAGTAAAGAAAAAACACCATTGAAATTAAAATTCAAGCAATTAAACTGACACATGAATCTCAACAAGTGTTGAAAGAAATGAAACACAACATTTGGACTTCCATTAAATCAATAACGCATTCCTATTTTGTATATATAAAATTAATACTCACATTAAAAGGTAACCAAACAACTCCTTAGTCTTTTGGGTTCTCAAGAATAACCAAAGTGTCTCATCCTATAACTTTAATAATTTAATTTTAAAATATATTAGTATAATTTTAATTAATGGTAAAAAATATTAATTATAAAATATAAACAAGGACGGGCATGTCCATATATATTTTTACATTGTCCATGTTTATCCGTTAATTTTAACGAACAAACCTGAACCTGTTAATTTTCTCGATAATGGTTGTCCAAATCCGTAATTTTTAACAGACCAGATGAATCGGGTCTAACAGGTCATTCCGTTCATTACCAACAAACAACACGTGAAGGAGAGACCCAAATCCACAGTTGGATATTTTCCCCATCTTGATTTAAACATTAATCTTTTTGTTAATTATGGTTATTAGTCCCTATAGTTAGTTGAAATTTTCTATTTTTGTCCTTATTATTTTTAAATTACGATTTTCTTCTATATTGGTTTATAATTCATTACTATTTTTGTTCTTGTACTTAAAAGTAGTGTTTAATCTCAAGGATGGAAATAGAAATAAATTTCAAACTATAACTATATTCATTCTGAAACTAAGAAGAACTCCTATATTTATAGATCATCATTAGAAACAAATAAGAACCAAGAAAATTCCAACAGAAATAAAGAAATTTTTTTTAACATACTCAAGAATATTCCTATGAATAATTATCTAGGAAAAAGTTATAGTTATATTATATATATGGAAAAAAATCCAGATAGAAAATATTTGTTTTGTAAAATTAAAAAAAATATTAAGACTGAACCTAAACCTAATACGGACCAAAAAATGGATAAA